TGTTTGAAAGGACGGCTGCTGATGGTGGGAAGGTGGGGATGAGTGATGTGTAGAAGGCTGGAGCCAGCTTAGTGAAGGGGACGGGTAGTGAGGTGGGCTGTAAGCAGGTCAGAGAGGTAGGGAGGAGCCAGGGCATGAATTGATTTGGCAGTAAAAGACACGATAAAACGGGGAGGTGGTTTTTGGACTGTTTGTCTATGAGCTCACATGCTGAAAATATCACATATTATTGCGTTTCGACATTTGTGGGAGAAAATGAAGCCTTTGTGGGAAACTGGTTGTAGGAACTGAGGAGCCAGCGGGTAAATCGATAGGAATTTTTGGAAGTTGGGTCAGAAATATAAGGTTACTGTTGAGCATGATAGAGATAAAATTGAAGTCCAGACTATCTGCTTTCTTCTTTAAATTTGTATGAAGTATAATAGTAAGGTTGGGATGTGGTTGTTCTTAACTTTACCGCTTGGGTTCTGGGTGTGTGCTTACGGCAGCAACAACAACCACAGTAATAACTGGTGCTAAGAATAGGAGCATTGCAATCGTTTCATCTAAGTGAGTCATTTTTTATAATGAGAAATGCTTACTTTTAGAACGTTACATGGGTTGGGATTCTTACATGATTTCAAAGATAGGATTGAGATTCAGACGAGTCTTTCAAAGAAATATTGCAACCAAGAGCGGTAATAATAATAATAATAATAATCCTTGCGTCGGATATAGCACCTTATCATGTCTTTGAGATGGCTCAAAGCACTTCACAAAATATACTGTAAAGTGAATTAACTGTATATTTTGTGGGCGAAACTCAGCAGCCAATTGCGCACAGCGGTAATTAAAATTGATTAATTAAAACAGTACGGTGTGTGAAGCTAAATGCTGAGCCCCAGGGTAATGTCATTTGGAGTCTAATTTGCGGTATTTTTAAACAGATTTCTTAAGAAGAAATGTTTACTTACCGCATGAAATGCCCACTGTGAGTGACAACCACCATGTGTTGCAACAACTGTACCTGTGGGACTGTAAGACTGCATCACACAACTGTTCAACTGCAGGAGTTCACGTTATACTAAAATGCCTCAGGTATTGACTTAATTTTTCTTATTGTGAACTGGAGCAATCACAATGTTGCTTTGCGAGGGGGCTGGTGTCTTATTAGCAATTCCAAAACATTAAACCTGGGGTCTATTTCATAGCGATTGCTAAACATAACATCTTTGTAATGGGATTTCCATGTAAATTAATCTCACAGTAATACTAGTATTAGTAATAGTGAAGGTAGGCATTTCCCTTTACAACATTAAGCATTATAGGGTTATTTAATCATTGCTACGATTTGCATTTGATATAACATTTCAAGCAGTTCACAGGATTTTTACTGTAAAAGTGTAGTGCCGTATATTTTGTACATGAACACGGGAGCCAATTTGCATACAGCAATGTCACATAAACAGTTATGAAGTCAATGGCCAATTTTATCTGAAGGATTGTTGGGTAGGACACTGGGAAAGTGAAACTCTCTTCTCTTTTCGAATGAGATTGTTAACTGAACAGACAGAAGACGAGACCTCAGTTTAATGTCTTAATGAAGGGTGGCACCTCTGACAATTTAGCAACAATCCCCTGGCACTGTAGGGGATTCATCCCAGACCTAGACCATGAGTATCATCCTAGACCTAGACTATGAGCGCAAAGTCCTGATGTGAGGCTTGAATCCACAATGTTCTGTTCTCAGTGGCAAGAGTGCTATCAACCGAGCCAGGCCGCCACCTATTCGGTATATTAACCATTAAATACAGGCCTAAAATAAATCTCCTGCACAATGATAAACATCACGGTGTCTACCTCCACAGGAATGGTATTTACACAGGACAGATGTGCGGTGAGACACTGCAGCTACAAACAGCTGGGCCCCATCAGCAATAGTACCATTGCACACAGAGCCCATCACTGTATTCCATTACTGAGCGGCCATTTGTTTTGCATTACAATTTATAAGAAGCTCTCCCAGCTGCTTTTCCATTGAGTAGAGTGGCTTAATCACAAAATCAATTGACTTTTAAACTTCCCATTGAACATGTCGGTGACTTCTATATAAGTGCTCTTTTGCAGCTTTCCAAACTTAGTTCTTTCACTTTTCCTGAGCTTATTGTTTAGCATCTGGTTGCTCAGTGGGTCCTGACGGATTTGCATGAGGAAACAGATGTTTATACTGTTTCATGAAGGAGTTGAGGGAGCTTGTTTTTAATTTACACTTTTCCTTCCAGGCTGGGACTCAATGGAAAAAGGTAGTCTGCGGTAAAGTCCCTTTGTTTAACTAACAAGATACATATGGGAATTGTAAAACGTTGATTACAAGCTTTAGCTCAGTCTTAGAAATTGAACTAAATCCAAAAAAATTAACTTTTCTTGAAGGTTTCATATTTTTGAACTTTTCTAAGTGCACTTAGTGAATTGTTATCTCTTAAACTGAATTACCCACAGCCTGTTATTATTAGAAAGAGGTATCTAAGATGCAGATGTCTTCAAGGTTGGATTGATGTACTTTTCTCCACCAATTTGCATGATTTTTCCTGCTTCTTGCTTCCTCTTATTGACTCCAAAATATTTTCTAGTCACTAAATTCCAGGTCCGGCATACCATTCAAGACATGTACCGTGTTTCCAGTTAGGAATCGCAAGTGACCCACTAGCTGGGAATGAATTGGAATCATATTATTCAACACAACCACTCTGGGACGCTACCCCACATGAAGGGCACTACAAAAATACAAGTTGTCGTTGCTTGTACCACAGTATGCAGATGTTCATAACATTACAAGTGGCTGGGTGGTAGATGCCATTATCACTTGGCTGTGTTTGACCCACAGAATGAAGTCAGTGATCCTAAGGCACTACTCGAAAAGTGAAAGCAGATTGTTTCATTAGGAGCTGACTGGTATAGATGTAGCATTGGAACACTGGAAATTGTAGTTACTGTATACAGCTGTGTAGACTCACACTGCACGTGACATGAATGTATAACATGGTTGGTAACTTTGATGTTGCATCATTTACCTCCCCCCAGACTCAATTCCTGGTGCGTAGTTAACTAGTGAAGTCCAAATATCTTGCAACACTACAAAACAATGCAAGACATTTTATGATGGGGAAGACCCTCCTTATTAATGCAGTTGGATTCTGTGCAGTTTTAGCTGGTTAGACTCCAGCAGTTACCCTAAAACACATTCCAGGGTCCCCAAACTTTGGATCTCACCAACCTGTGCCTCATACTCTTCAGAATCAAATAAGCAGGAGGCATCCCCCCCAGAAAGAGAGAGTGTGCATTCCATTCCAGACATAGGGAAGTTTCCATGTGTAGGTGACGGGCATATATATGGAACTCTCAGTGTAGTTTGGGTACTGTTTAGCATAGTGCTGGGTTTCCACATGTGTCAGATACCTGGCCAACCAGAAGAAAAAAAATGTTTGCTTTTTTTCCCACCTGCCATTGATCAGATCAGTTCTGGCCAGTGTTTCTGCAGGTTGTGGGACTCTAAATCCAATACAGCCCCAGCAGAAAAAATCCAGGGCTATTCCCCTCTTGGCCAGACTTTGTGTAGAAATGCAGCAAAGAATGTTTTCTTTGCAAATTTTGAAATCAATTTAGAAAACTATTTCTGCTGAAGTATTACTGATTTATTTTCATCACAGGTAAAAAGAAAAACTCCGAACGGGCAGAAAATGTGTAGCTCCCAGAACAGCACCTTCAAGATGGGAAACACCTGACTGAAACCTAACATTCCTGGAGTGCTCTGTCAGCTCTAACACTCGTGAACTGTGCAGAGACCCAGATAAACACAGCTCCATTATTACACGCACCCCTTTGAGCTTTGTGAAATGCCCTTTTGCTTACTGGATGTTCACCCCATTTATAATGATAACATAATAATAATCCTTACATTTGATATAGCACCTTATCACGTTTTCGAGACGTCTCAAAGCGCTTTACAGAATATACTGTCAAGTGAATTGTCTCTGTATTTTATGGGCAAAACCCAGCAGCCAGTGTCCCACAAACAGTCATAGATTGAGTGACCAAATAATTATTATTGTTTATTTCTTTGCTTTTTGAAGGGAGTATTACTCTCGGAAAGTGATCTGCCAATCGACTAACAACTGGATTCCAACTTACTGCTATGTAAACAGAGGCTTGTGCAGTAAGGAAACTTGCCTAAGATTTTCTCCTGCCCGGTAATCAAACCTGGGTCCTCTTGCTTGCGAGGCGAGTGCTCTACCCAATACGCTACAGGACTCCGGTTTGAGCCAGGTGGGATGGTTTGAGTTTATCCTGGTGTCTTGGCCAACAATCTCCGCAAAATAAAATTGGTCATTCACTTTGAGATGTGTTCGAGATATAAAAGGCACTTTATCAAATGAAAGGATTATTATTAATAGTGCTTCCTTTGGTTCCGTAGTGCTCAATTTATTGGCAAGCTCTCATTCAGAGTATTTCCTGGAACAGGTAATAATAACCATCTGTGCATTTGATATAACGCCTCTCCAAGTTGTCGAAACATCTCAAAGCGTTCCACAGGATTTACTACAAAGTGCAGTGACCTCATTTTGTTTTCACAGGTGAACTTGGCAACCAATTTGAGCACAGCAATGTCCCAGTAACAACAACGAGTGAACATCCACTCATCAGTTTCTTTGCTTTTACACTTTCACTGCACTGCCACCTCCTCCTATAACAGCGAGCACTTGCCTCATCGTAAAGTTCAATTTTCTTATTCTGAAGACCGAAAGCTTATCCTGGGATCAGGCGTATTTAACTAAGAGCCTGTACAATTAGGGATTTGCCTAAAAGATCCTTTTGAATGTTTCCATTGTAACAGTAGACACAAATAGAATAGTTTCATGTCTGTTTGGACCAAAGCCCAGCTGAAACTATGTACTGCTTGACTGACAGCATGATGCCGTCTCCTGTTCAAGGCAAACACTCTGAGAGCAGTCAGTCTGGAGTAAAGGAGGCATTTCAGTGGGGAGGGAACAAGTGGGAGAACGAAAAGCAAGTTCTCAGTGGTTGGCAAAAATTGGCTTCAAAGTCCTCAAATCCCTTGCTTTTGTGTCCACGCAAAAAGTGCCGCCTTGTCTCAAGAGTTTCTCTTCACTTTGTTTCCAGTGGGAAAGCAAGCGACGGAGGAATTTCAGAGAATATTTGGAAGTGAGACAGGCAGTGAAGGCTCTAATTTATTCCTGGGTAAGTTTTGTGACCCTATTAGTTTTTTTTATTACCTCATTGATGCCTTCGTTGTCGTACGCCGGTGAATTTTCACGTCAGCGCACTTTCTCCTCTGTACATGACTGACGTGCTCACACCAGGGAATGAATTATGTATTCAGTAGATAAAGAAAACTGTCTTGCCTGGTGATTTGGAAATGATCAGTTTCAGAGCATTTCGAAAACAGTCATTCGTTATCCAAGGTCCCTTGTCTTGCGTTTGCGTCGTGTTATTTTCTGACGTTTTTCACCGTTTGAAGAGAAAAAGCAGCAGCTTTGCAGTGCATTCCACTTTCTTTTCTCCTGTGACTTTTTTTCTTTGCTTGTTTTTTTCCAAAGCGAAGTTAAAAACAGTGTTTCTGCAGGGTAGGAGTTTCCACTTAAACGACAGCTTTGGGAAAATATTTCTGGGAGCCACACATGTGTTTGGTTCTTCATGCATAATATTGCAGGGTTATGATTTTAAGTATCAGTGGGGAAGAAATCATGGCAAAGAGAATGCAGCAAATGGGGTTTACAGATATCAGTGCTGGAACTTTGTGGTTGTCAGTCACTATCGGTGTTTGTCTGTAATTGTATTACTCACTGTTTGCAAAGGGATCTGTAACTTTCTGAAGGAGAGAAGTGGAGAGACGCTTAACTATAAACTACGCTTATATTAAAATCCTTGTGCTTAATCCCACACTGTGGACTTCACTTCTGTGAAGTTAAAGGTGAGGAATTTCTGAACTGCCCATCATACAGTATTAGAAGTCCAGAAAAGCTGCATTAAAATGCTTTACTTGTACTGTAGAACATGGAGTTTGGATTTAATTAACTTTTAAATGCCTCAATTCACTGAAAGATTAGGCTTTTTTTAAAAGAATGCTCTTTTATAAATTCGCCTCTACACGGCACTGATTTGACAAACAGGCATGAGTTCAGCTGCAAAATAAAGGCTTCCTATTTCCAAAAGGGACATTCCATCCTCCCCCCATACTGTTCTCCCCCCGCCCCTCCCGCTTCCAGCAATAAGGTGGCTATACATTAGCAGATGTGCCCAGTTACTGCCCAAGAATGAATTTTTCTGGTCTTGTCTACTGGCATCTGCAAGGGATGCTTACATGGGAAGTCTGCCATCGTTCAAGTTGCTTTCCACTGCACCATACTATGACACCCGTTTGCCCTCACGTTAAGCGAGTTTCACCTTTGCCATCTCAAGTCTGTGGCAGAGAATCAGTGCCATGCTTACACTGTATGTCACCTCCCCTGCCTGTTCCAACCTTACCATCGGTGGGCGAACCTTCAGCCATTCTGCCTCTGGAATCTCTCCACCTTGCCACCTCCCTCCCTCTCCGCCTTCAAAACCCGCCTTAAAACCAATATCTTTAAACCGTGTTTTGGATTAAATTTCTTCTCCTTCTTTTCCACTCCCACCACCATCACCACCACCCAGTTTGGGCTTGTGAAGCGATTTGAGATGTCCTTCCACACGAAAGGTATATTGTTGTTGAAATCCATTGTGGTTTTGCCAGCAAATTGCCACAAAGCGTAACATGTCACACACTGAACTACAGTGAATGGTGCTGGTGCCCTGCTTATGATACCACCTCGGGGTCCAGCGTCAGGAATAAAACCACCTTTAATTTTACTCCCACGCAGTAGGAACACAGTCGATGTGAATTGCATTGCCCATCGGTGCCTTGAAAGCTATTGGCCGGTCCACAGCAGCTTCAGGGTTGATTGTGTACTATTATTAATGTTTCGGTCACTGACCTGCTCTACTATGAGACTGAATGTTGCAACACATGGTTTGAACTCAGAAAACCAGACAGGATTTGCCCTCCTGATTGCTGTCCAGAGATAGAATTGAACTTGGTTGTGATGTCTAATAGCAATCCAAGGCTCATACATTAATAGTGAGGTTGAAAAAAGGGGCAGTGGACAAAGGGAGTCACTAAATGCAGCGGGGAATAGGTAGAACTGTAGCTCTATCCACTGTACCATTGGGGCTGCCCCTGCTTTTACGTTCTCAACACATTCTCAAATCTGAATGAAGATTCTCGCTTCAGAAAGCAGGAGAAGGGAAAGAAATCTTTTGCTTGACTTTCATTTGTTTTGTGCCTTATCACATCTTCGAGGCGTCTCAAAGCATTTTTCCTAGAATATACTGTAAAGCGAATTGGCTGTATATTTTGTGGGCGAAACAGTCGTGAATTGAGTGACCAAATTATTTATTGATTAAAAAATGTTTTAAGGATTATTACCCCCAGAAAGACAATCTGCTAATCGACTAACAACTGTGTTCCTGCTTACTGCTGGGTAAACAGAGGCGTGTGTGGGTGGCACTTTAAAATATGCACTAAAATAGGCTACAAATTGCAAGATAGAGACAGACACTATGAATTATGAAGTGATTCTTTCATTGCGAAGGGAAGCTTAATTATACGTGGGGTAAAATCACTAGCCGAGTAATACAGGAATAAAGTAAAGAAGGTTATTATTCTGACTGCGATGTGCAATTAAAGTATGTGGTAAGCAGCCTGGTTCTTTCCAAATTAGATGTGCAATTCCGATCATGACCTTCAATGTGCGATGTCTGGTTGACTGTGTCTTGGGAAGCCTTTCATTTTGGTCAATAATGTCACTGCATTTGCGTTGCAAAAAGTCACGACTGGTTATTTTGATATTTTAGCACTCGGGGACTCTGGATCTGAGGTCGGGCCACTGTCAGTACTGAGCAGACACAAAGGCTGCCAAGGCTCTGAACCTAGTTTTCTTTCCTTTTGCTTCCAATTTTTTAAACAATACATTGGCTACTTCATTTTCACTTACAAGCACATAGTTACTGTGCTTGACAGCAATTACATGTGAAGCGCTTTGAAACGGTTTGACATTAGAGATGCAAAATCAAATTATTCTTGTATCTTATAGAACATCCCTGGTGCAAATCAGCCACCCCAATTTTGCCTCCTTAACAGCATTTCACTTTCAATTCTAATGATCTCCTCCTGTACAGTACTTCAAGGCATTTCTTTCATCTGAAAGGCGCCATATAAATGTAAGTTGTCATTATGTTCTTATTGCTGATACAACTTCACATTCATCCAAATGGAAGCCTAGCAACTGTGTTTTATTCTAATGTGGCCTGTACATTCTCTCATTAAGCAGCAAGCCTAGATTAGTAAGTACAAGAATGTGGAACATTACGTTTGCTAGGATTTGAAGCCACCATCTGAAGGTTTTGTCGTGCTTAAATTATCTAATTCCAGCCTCTCTAACGTACTAATGATGTTGCCTAATCATGTACAACTTTATGCCTACAAGGTCAATATATAATAATCCTTGCATTTAATGTATGTCATCACATCATCGAGATGTCTCAAAGTGCTTCACAGAACATACACTGTTAAGTGTAGTGACTATTTGTAGGTAAATTTAGCAGCCAATTTGCGCAGAGCAATGTCCCACAAACAGCCATGAAGTGAATGACTGATTTGATTGTTGGCCAGGACATCGGGAGAAACTCCCTTCTCTTTTCAGACAGTGGAATGGGATCTTTAACATCCACTTGAACAAGCAGACGGGACCTTGATTTAACATCTCATCCGAAAAATAGTACCTCTGACAATTCAATGCTCACCCAGCGCTGCATTGGAGTGTCAGCTTAGACTGTGAGTTCGTAGTCCTGACATGAGACTTGAACTCACAATCTTCTTACTCAGAGGCAAGAGTGCTACCAATTACTCAGACCATCAAAGAATGATGGAATGCATTAAATACATATTTTCTATCCACTGCATGCAAGCAGTGAACTCATAAGAGATAATCTCTTTGTAGAGTGATTTTGAGATTCGTACTCCAATGCCATATCTCATATCTTTTGTCTGTTTTGCCTTTGACTGGACACAAAAGTCCCTGGCAAACATCTTCTATACTGTTTGAGTTCCAATATCTATTGGTCATGAAATGGGTCAGTAATGATACAAAATTATTTTTATAGTCGATACTACAAATAGACCAAGTGAGTCTTCTTTTTGAATACAGACAATGCAGCCACAGCAGTCAGCTACCATCCAGTGACTTGCGTGTTTCACATTTGCATTGGATTGAATCAGTTGTTTTCCCAGAAATGGAACATTGCCCTCAACTCAAGGGGTTAATGGTTCTTGCTGATCTTTTATGTGAAAGATCTGATTAAATGGAAACACTCATCTGATTAAGGTGTACCATCTAAGGGTCTCTATGACTCAATCAGACAGTAGTTTAATGCTTCCTGGAGCATATGAAAAGCCAGGCAGGTACGAAGTGGTCAGAACGTGGCTTAAATGTGTTACTTAAGAAGTCGAAAGAAATGCTTCAAACCTTATAGGATGTTTTGTTAGAAATTTACAGCACATGAGAAGGCCATCCAACCCATTGGGTCAAGCATCTGTGCCGTGGGCAGATATTTTATTGAGGATCTGAAATCATGTATTGTAAATTGTGTGTGAAAGAATCAAACCCAATCTCCCCACAAAGCAGTGTCCAGTGCTGATTTTAATAATAATAATAATAATACAATAATCCTTGATATAGTACGTCGCTGAAGACGTCTCAAAGCGCTTCACAGAATACATTGTATAGTGGATTTAGTGTATATTTTGTGTGCGAAACGCAACAGTCAATTGCACAAAGCAGTGTCCACAAACGGTCGTGGATTTTCTTGTGTTTGAACGTGGGATGTGATCACTGGCTCACAGCTGGAATTCCAGCAACTTTATTTTTTCAAAGAAAAATGGATGGCGTCCAATTTTTATTGTTGTTTTTGCAGCGCAGCGGGTGACTTCATGCCCCGGGCTCAGTGTTGGCTTGGCCGATGCTCAGCCAGATAATTGTGATTGACATAAGCATCAGCTCACGGTCAAACAGGGAGAGTGTGCGGAACTATTCAACCAATCGGCATTAGAAGCAATCAAGGGACATAATGGAACCAATGCGCAGGTCATGGAAATTCTGGTT